GCGAAAGTCCAAACCCCTTTGTGTATTTACAAACGACGTATCCTTATCTTATGCCTTCCACAGTAATCTTTATCTTATTTTAATGCCAAGGAAGGTATGAAAATGTATTGTTACTCCTTAGCATCCTGAAATTTTCCAAATTTTATATTCACCTAATCTATTTACTTTATCCCACCATATTTTCATCCTTCATATAAAATTCATTGAAAAGTAAATATATGATCAGATTGCTCGAAATGTATTGCGCAAATACATTAGATTTCTGATATAACCTCCGTCTTATTACATTATGCAAATGCATCAAAGTGACCACTTGTTTCAAACCCAGACAGTTTGAACAGGCGAGATGCAGTGCAGTTAGCTGTCAGTGGACAGTGCCTAATCGGTCAGTAAAAAGAGAGACTCTCGCAGTTACCTTTAACATCATTCTCATCGTCATTATCTCTGCATCAGTAACAACATAATCTGAATTGATTTGATTCACTACTATTAACATCACCAATATTACTCAAATTCACCTCCACCTTATTCCAACGAATCATTAAAAATTTACTCTGAGATTTATAAGATTTTATTAATTTCATGTCAGTATTCATCTAGAACTGAAATCATTTGCGGAACTACTGAATAAATGAGAACGCTGAACATCTGTCTCGTCCTGGGATGGTTTCCATAATCAATGAAAAATTTGTTAGTAATAATTCATCCTTACATACCAACTAAAATGACTCACATATTCATTGTACTTATAGATTTGTCAACCCATAATGAATACTACGTTGAAATAAATAAAATTCCCTTAAACCCCAAACTGCATTAGTGATATGCTTAAAGATGGACATTCCCAAGTTGAGAAGTCATGGCCGGTGGGGTGAACCAGGTAGGATATGAAGGATATGTTAACTGTTGTCCTTGAAAGATAGTCACGCTATGCCGCAAATTAATAGGAAAGTTTGGACCATTGAACACTGACCTAGCGTCTGAATGGTTAATTTGCTTGCCACAAGACCTGAAAGTCCTGGGTTAAATCTCTTGCTGAATCGCCGGTGTGTACTGGTGATAAGTCCGAAACTGGGACGTAACGCCTCTCCAGTACTTCCAGGTTTTTAGTGGTTCTGAAAATGACTTCAGCCTGGGATGAATACTATGTGAGTAATTCTGAGGTATGACAGCGTGTTTGGGCACGATGAAGCAATTATGACCGGACAGAGTTGTCGCAAATCCTTAGCACGGAAAGGCCAGGTTTCACAGGCGTAGAGTAGGACCGCTAGCACCAAGGCTTTGTAAACTCAACCTTTCATGGTCAGACCAACGTGACGTCAGGGCTAAAGGTGGCCCACACTGACGTCTGCCACTTTAGCTTTCGATATGCTGTTGAAAATTCCCTCACTCACGCCTCCACCGGCACTCACACAGCTACCCAGATACACGAACTTTTCGACTACTTCTAACGGCTCCCTACCTAGGATGAGCGCAGGCACAGGCTCTTGCCAATCTTGCAAGAGTACTTCGCATTTTAATGCGGCAAAGCGCATCATATACCAAGTGATATAGAGTCCTACACTGAACGATTAGCAATTATATTTTGAGAAAACAAAGACTAGGCAAAGACGATTGTACGGGAAGATTAGGTACAGGTTTCTGAATTCATTTATATATTTTTGATGTTTTTATTTTCATTATCTCCTTGAAGAAAGTTAGACGAGGTTTTCGTGAGAAAAGTTGGAATTATATCATTTCAAACACGCTATGGCTTACACCCAATATTAGTGATGCCATCCGGTCATATCTTGATCATAGTTCTTATTAAGTTGAGAAGACTGAAATAAGTGCTTCAATGAAATCTTTCATATATAATGGATAAGAAATATTGTAGGATGAAGTCTTACCAAAGCATACCAATTGGCTGTATTTCCTGACCTTCAGTCTCACCTAAACTAGGGCCTAAACGAACAGACCAAATGACGTAACCATGTTACATAAACTATGACGCTATGAGTTTTATTTACCATGTCTCAGTGAATATGTATAAATATGCATGACTAACTGACTAATTTTTATGGTAATGCAAATCACATGATGACCTAACGATAGGGGGATACAGAATTTATTGTATTTGAGTGATTTGGACCACAAAAGACATAAATATAAATAAGGGAAAATGTTTACAGGAATGATTATAGTTCAGATGGCAAATTCAGTTTATTATTTCATTGCTTGAATGTTGTGTTTGCACACTTATCGGGTACTCTGATAAGAATCTAGTAAATTACGGATTAATTAAAATTTTGTAAAAAGTAAGTTATCTCACTACTTTTATTCGTGCTTCTTTATACATATTAACACTTTTTTTCATGAGTCGTTGGTACTGAATATACAAATGACTTGGGTTTACATCAGTGTTGTGCAACAATTTTTGGCACATTTTTCGTATGTAGCTAAATTTAAGTGTTAAGTCCCTTATGACTATTGAGTTAATAGCATCTACTTAAGTTTTTGGCTTCTCAGTGTTAAATATTTTAATTCATTGAAAGGAACATGCTTTATCTTGTTAAGTAATGTATATTGGGGGAACTGAAGTTCCTAACTGCTACTTTCAAATTTCTTGCATAAAAGTCTTGTTCTTCTTTCTGTTCTCTTACCAAATTTATTGATCTCAAGGAGTCTTATGCTTGATAAAGTCTAGTTAGAGGGATGTTAGAGTACGAGTAAAAAGTTGGTCTTGTTTACTTCAGTTTCAGTTTCTAGAAGTTAAAGATTTTAGAACAGGGTCTGAATTAATCCTTATGATTTGGAGAAAGAGCGTAAAATGTTAGGACTACTTGTTGCCGTAGGGACTACTAATGCTCATGAGTGCGACACAAGAACCAAACTTATAAATGGCATCGAGTCAACAGTGAGTTTAAACTTTGGGGTGACATTCTCCCAAGTGGAAAGCTCTAGAAGGCAGAGCTAGGTAGGAGAAATTACCACCTAAGGAGATATAGAATACCAAGATGAGATCTCCTAAAAGTGTGCGATAAGACAGGGGAAACAGGTCTACTTGATCTATGGAGAATATTTGTAGCTCAGGTGCAGCTAGGCTATTTAAACAATCCAGCTCAGAGAATACAATACAACCAAGACTACTTGATCTATTCTCACTTTGTAGGAGAAGTTTGAAAACACTTCCATCTTCTTGTCCTTGCACGCATAACACATTGTGGTGCAACTGATTCATATTTGAAAGGAGGACTAGCTGCTTATATCTCGTATTCGAAATAAGGTTTGATAGATATCTGGTTTACAACTAAAAATAGTCTTATTGAACTTCATAAAAGCCTTGTGACGGAATCTGGATACTTGAGAATCTAGATCAGGTACTATCTTATGGCATATTGGGGTTGTGAGCTACAAGAATTCACCAATCACTGTATTCAGCAATTTTGAACAGTCGTTCTGAACTATTTAAGTGATCAGATAGATTTTTCCGTCCACTAAGAATGACCACACTCTTTCTAATCGTACTTCACTGAAATATAGTAGAAAAGAAAGAGGGTTTAGATAACACCTTGAGTTACATAACTATCTACTGGTAATGAGGATAAGATTTTATTGAACTTTACTTATTGTTTCCCATCTCCAATACGATCCTATGTGTAGTCAGTAATCCTCTTGGTAATCATGAAGCCATTTAACTTTGTGGAAATTCTCGAATGAAAATATAGTCGAAAGCCTTAATGAAATCAGTTAGTCAGCCACCTGGTCTTTTCTTGCTTTGAAGAGATAATTAAACAAAAGCGATCGACTCTAAATTAGGACACACTAGATTCATACAGTAGTTTAGAATACTTTCTCTACTATGACTAATCAAAAAAACGTTCTTGATATGATATAAAACATGCTTATTAAACACGTCTAGGGAGCGCTTTTGTGCTATGTTAGCATGAATACAGTAATAATGATAAATTCATTTTCATAAGATGTTTACAGCCTGAGTAATAGATATGTTTCCGGTAAAAAATCACCTACTTACGAAGATCTGACTGGTAAATATGATTTGGGTAAAACACTAACCTGTTGTCGTTATTCATAAATGTAAATGAATCATACCACTGAAGAACAACTTGAATCAGTGAGTTAGATCATAAACTGGGGTTGGTAATATGTATCACTGTAATAGACCAGTAGCATCCAAAAGTTGAAACAGGCAAATTTATGTGGCTTTACACACTTAGCAATATTACGAAATGAAGTGTACTGGCACGTTCGCAAGAATCGGTTGCCAAAAACTAGTACAGAGAAAAGTAAGACGTTTAGCAATATTTCAGTACTATCAGTCAAAGAACAAAGTGTTAACTTGTGACTTAGTATACTGTAGACTGTAAACAGTATTTTCGTGTGACTGCAAATAGAAAAATAGATAAGACTGAGGATTATATACTGACCATAGCTAGACTTTCTAAGCGAAGTAAGGAATTCTCCATTAATTCAATTATTAGAGTGAACAGTGTAAAAGTGTTCCTAAGTGGCGAATGATTCTCACAGAATCTTTACATCCAGAACCATGTAATGGATGAGAACAAGATGATACTCAGTGGATTCTCAGGATTTACCCACTGGTAGTGAGACTTGATGGTCCTCTACTAGGTCCATCATAAGGTCACAAGTATTCACTGCTGGGGAGTCTTAATGTACGATGAAACAGCTAACCAGTGCCACAGCTCTTCATTAGTTCTCCAACTAATGTCCTTTTGTGATAAAAACTACTTTGAAGTCAACCAACTTCAATAAAATTCATGATTAAATAGCGATATTCAGCTGCTCATGCCTTTGAATATTATATGTCATGCATAATGCCCATATGACCACTTGTAGTTTGCGAATAACTTGATGAGAACTACTCGATTAGATTTTTGTAGCCAGCAGTTGTATACTTTATTTTATAAAATACACTTCTTATTTTCGTTTGGACCAGGCAATTCGAAACGAGAATCAAACTTCACTCTAGTTATCCCAGTATGAACAGAAGATCGTCTAGTAAAGTGGTGAAGGTTGACAAGCCGAAACGTGTTACTGAATGTTCACCACCTCTTTCCCAAATTTCTTTAAATTCTCCAAGATTTCCGTTTACCCATGGGATGGTTCGCCAAATTCCCTGTAGTCCATCAAGTACATCAATCAGCCTAGCCGCTTTGTCACTGGAAGATAAATCAACTTCTGTAACCAATTTTTCAGTCAGTGAAGAGGACTATTCCCAAAAACGCTTCCCCTGTAAATCAGTTACATCAGATTTTAAATCCAGAAGACATTCACTTATGGAAAGCAGTCAACATGAGTTTGGAGATAATATGGATAATTTTCAAACCGTTAATTATTATTTTGTTGAGTCGAAAAGTTTAAAAGTGAGCAAAAGGTCTTGCGTAGATTATGATCGGAATTGGTCAACTTACCTCTATAGAATTTTTATTGATGAAACTGGTAACAAGTATTCATTTTTCTAAACAGCTTGATGCTTCCTTTATCTGGCTAACCAGTTGGTTTGTAAAAAGATCAAATTAAATTTCTCTGACTTTTCTTTAAACTTGACATCTGAAGTTCATTTAAATATAATTTTATGATAAATTAAATATTTTGAATGAAAAACTTATTTCATCTTAGTTGAGTGATTATTCATTCACCCAGTTTACACATTCCCTAGTATATGAAGGTTATGAGTTTGAACCGCATTGCATCTTAACAGGCATTGACTATGAAGTAATTGCGGCCTGGTTGGACAAATCTTCACTTAGCCTTGGCACTTACTTACGAGGGGTGATGACACTGTTATCGTATTCTTCATCAATGAAGAGTAAACTTCACTCATCGTGACTGAACTTGATGAAATTTAATGGTTTGGAAAGAAAAGGGATATTTTCTTCAAAACTGATGATAAACGATATGTAGTCAGATTTTTTAGAATAGTATGGTTTAGTTTACCCCATGAAGTTTAACAATGAAGTGAAGCAAAAATGGGTAATCTATGGCGTCTCCTACACGAGACTTTTAAATGCGTTTACATTTGTCAGTAATATATTTTGCTAAAAGGACCAGCAAGAGATTTGAAAATATGAAAAACAATGCTTCCGAATTGCCACCCGAGCCACCTGAATTAAGTTTATGTCTAGCTGATTTCTTGTAGAATTATCATTGTATAGGATAGTCTTTTATTATTTGTCCATTGGGTTCCTAGCAGAACAAACGGCTTCAGTAGCACGTCTCCAGCGCACTCTGTTCTCTGCAATCTTTTGAACCTAGCTCCACGACTGCCCACAAGTCCTCATTTCTCCCATCTAAACTTCAGTATCTAGCCAGCGTAGGCAGCTGTTGATGAGGCATGTCTGTAGTTTGTTGGAAATGCTTTTCGCAACACCCCGACAAGTCTCTCAACAATCACATAGAAGCACTGATTTGACTGAATTATTGTTGAAAATGCTGATCACTTTCTTTATGCTGAGTGCAGTGCAGTAGATCTTCAAATGATTTCAGGTTAATGAAGATTTGTCTTGCTTTTCTCACCTGGAATTCACATCCTCATTTGTGCCACCTGTAGTTGAGATGATGTTGCCTGCGTTGGTGAAAGAGACAACTCCCCTCAGGTTTCTCCCCTTCATGGTGATTGGTGCCTGTTGTGGATGCTGTTGTTTTGTTGTTGGTCTGTTGATTGGGCATCTTCATCACCACTGTCTTCTCTACCTTCACCTCAAGTCACGTCTTCACTGCCTCGCCTCATATGCCAACTTGTTAGTTTCCGCCTGTAGATCTTCGAGTTTGTGCGACAAGACATTAGACACAAATCATCATCAACGGCGAAATCCAAATCTTGTAGAATCTTTTCATCGGTCCAACCAGCGCATAACCCTCTTCTCGCTCCTTACATTTTCTTGCATCATCCAGTCCAGTCCAGTCAACCACAATCAGGAAGATCATCGATGATAGTAGGCAGTAACCTTGTCTTACTCCTGCCTATCTTCACTTCCACTTCAAAGGCATCACTGAGCTCTCCATTGTGTTGTGAATTAATTGGCATACAGCATCACATAGCATATAGCTGCTGTTCAATGATGTTGGTGAAGGTTTGTGGCACTGAAACCGTAGTGTTGAAACAGCTGTCTCCAAATTACTTCTCGGTCGACGCTGTCGATCGTCTTTTCAAAGTGAATGAAGTTGAGGTGAGGTAGAAAGTTGACTGTTGTTCTGTGATGATGATGATGTGTAGTGTAGTGTTGCAACTTGATGCCCACATGATTTGTTCTTCCTGAAACCAGCCAGTCTCTTACGGACGACAGTTTTCAATGCAGAGCACTTCCGAGTCTCTGCAGGAAGACAATGGGCGTGATAACTTGCTTCGGGTGGACAGGGTCTGCAGCATGATTCCGTGCCAGTTCTTGCTCTTGCAAACAATTAGGTCTCCCTTCCTCGTGAATTCGACAAGGTAGCCCTTCTTCCAATTAATCAACAGATACCTTTCCTTACTTCCATACCTTCTGCGATAGTGGTGTGAGCATGTCTGTTGTTGTCTCTGCGTCTGTTTCCAGTGCTTCTGGAGGGATTCCATCTGGCACTGCTGCTTTCCCGGATTTCAGCAACTTCATGGGGTTTAGGAATTCATACATGCTCTTGTCGGAGGGTTTGTGTTGACTGATAGTTGTGTGTCTGTGCTGCTGGTGGTATTTCTGGGCGAGTTGCAGGTGGTGGTGATAGCTGGTGTGAAGACGTCTTTTGTAGTTTCGGCCTTCGGCTTCTGTTCTGGGTGTTAAACTAGAACTTGAACTTTGATCTATCACCATATTCTTTGAAGTAAAGGCTTACAACTTGGTTTTGAAGGTATGTTTCTTGCACTAGATAGTGGTGTGAGTACTGTGAATCTACATCTGCTCCTCTCCATCAACTTGTGTCCAGTAGGCTGCATCTCCCCTTTCTTCACACTGAGATGAAGTCGATCGGATTTGTAGTGTAGTGTGTCCTGGTGTCTCTTGAAATCGAACCTATTTCGCTTTGTGAATATCCTTGTGCTTGTGCACACAGCCCGCCTCCAATCACCAAATCGTTGAATGCGCATAAGTATGCAAACAGTTCTCCATTCTCATTCATCACTTCACTGAGTGCCTCTCAACTCATGATGAGTTCCCTTCCTGTGTTGTCCTCTCCCAGTCTAGCATTCATGTCACACCACCCATTAGAATGAATTTTGATGTCACCATCTAGAGTGGGGTCTTGTCTACTACTGATTGTAGTTGTCTATAGAATTCCTCCTTCCTCTCTTCATCTGCATTATTTGTAGGTGCGTAATACTAGCATTACATGGTTGTAAATTTCTTTCCTTTCGATTTGAATCTTGCTGTCATGATCCTGGTCCCGAAGGAGAATGGTTCCCACTGCGTGAGAACCTTCAATGTTCTTAGGAGGGGGACGTCATAAAAACCACTCCCTCACTGTGCTCGTGGTTGTCGTCTAAACAAATGAAGTAGATTATTGACTCTGCAGTTAAGAGTTTGAAGAGTCCACTTCCATTCCGTCTACCTTCTCAGATTCGTAGCACTACTATGCCATACCTCCTCATCTCTTTTGCAGTCTGAGCACCATTGACAACCAGCTTCAAACATTGTGCGGATATTCTATGTCCCCATGTTTACTTCCCCCTTCATCAAAAGAAGACACATCAGCCAATTGGCTTTCCGAAGGCTTTCATCAACCGGAGTCATCTCGTCTCCCTGATTCCAGTGAGGAATAAGTTTGTTTTTACTTTTTATATTTTGTCTTTGCTTTGAAGTTTCTTTAGCGGTTGGATTGGTTTTTTGGGGTAGGGTTGTTTGCCGTATGCCCAACCTTCCCTCTTTATCTGAGCTGAGGACCGGCTGGTAACTAGTGAACTAGTTAACTAGACGAAGCTAATATTGGCATAACATACTTTAAATATGTGGAAATGAATAAAGATGGAAATTCGAGGATTAACAATAAGACAGTGAGTCAGGAAAACACAAGATAGAAATTACTGGAGTGAAGGTACTGACCAGTCCATTTGTCTGTCATCTATAAACGTGGTTTAGTCACTAGAAAGCTGTGCTCAAAAGACAAACAAGAAAAAGAATCCAGTATCATTGAGAAGACTTTTATAGAGAATGGATTTCTGAAGAAATTCATCATGAAGCATGAAAAAGAATTTATTGAGAGATTGTTCAGAAGAAGTCCGTTTTCCTTCATCTAGCATTCAAAGAGGATGAGACATCTGAAATGATAGGCGGGAGATTAAAAGATGCACTAAGGAGCTTTCCTGCCGCCAGAATGATCTCAGTTTGCATTGCAATATGATAACAGTCGGAACTAGACAAATACTCATCTCACGTCAACTCCAACTGTGTATGTCAGTTCACCTGTGCTCGAATTGGCAAGCAGATGTGATGGACGGAAATAAGGGCATCTACTTGGCTTCATGAGCATATTCCAAGAACTCTATATCTGAAAGGTAGCGAGGTTTTTACCAGAACAATTACCTGACACCCGATGGAAACAGGACATCAGGTAGATGTTTTGCAATCTTTCAGGATAATCAATAAACAAAGAAGGCCATTTTTATTAAGGTTTGCGGAAGCTCTCGCCACTGGACATTTTCAACTTGACCTATGCACTGAGAAAGATACTGTAATAACCTTCCTTTACCCTAGTAACTGTTTACGATTTTTAGCATATGTATGTATATAGTCTTCCTTTTTCTTGATTTCCTCACTAACTACTTACTGACTGTCGGTCACTTAAAGGTTTTCCAGTTTTTGTATCTGATCATGTAACTTACTAGCTCCTTAACAACCCCTTTTTTTTACGTTCCTGTTTGTTTATTGTCTTTCCTCACCCACTCCACAGCACCACAAATTTCTGTCTCATCATATTTAAATTACCATTGATTTTAACTAAGATTTGTGGTTACTAGTCCTGTGAATTCTGGACTCACTGCTTCGATTTCGAATCTTCATTCATTTCTACATATTTAAAGTGTGTTATACCAATACTAATACTAATACTTCATTTCAGTTGTAGGCTGTTTGCAGCTAATGAGAGACCATGAAATAAAATGAGCTCATTCTATTTTTCTAAAGTCTTTGTTCTTGCATTATTCATAATTTTGGTAAATTGCTTAGAATACAATAGATGATGGGAAATGGTTTATAATCATCACCTTCATCCTTTGTTTGAACTACGTAGGCTAGTACTGAGCTAAATACAAACTTTGTTAGGCATTTTCTCTATCATACTGGGGTGTATTTTAGAGGGCGAAAAGTAATATTCCTTAAGCAACGGTTGACCTGGCATATTCCATGGAAAAATTTAGACTGACGGACACAAAAGTGACACAAAAAGTAATCCTTCATTCAGTTTACTTGTCAATACTGGGTTAATAGGAAAATTCTACTGAAATTTCCTAACAGTTAGTCTTCCTTAGATCGATCTGTTCAGCAGTTTAACTTTT